CGGCGTTCGCAAACAGAGGCAAAATTTTGCGAACAGAACTGTTTGTGACCCGAATTGGTTGTGAACAGAAGCGTTTGTGATCCGAGGTACCACTGTATTTAAGTGAGAAAAGTCTAATTGAATTCAGCAGGGTTGATGTCTGAGTAGATGTGTGTAGGTTTACAGTGTAGCAGTGTTACATCTACTTTATGTACTAAAAATAATTCCCACCAAATGTAATGGATTTCCTCCTGAGTAATAACACCTAGGTGACAACCAAAGATGAAGCCCAAATGTATGTTTCTGTCAACAGAAAGAAAAAAAAATCTGCTGGTAGAATTGAAGCCAGGGGAGGGGAATTTCCTCTCCCATGTGTAACTCTTTCATGTAGGCAAAATTTAAAAAAATCAACCAAACACCCACCCACCCATCCTTTGGAGGCCCAATAATTGTCCAAAACAAATTGAGGGTGAAAAGTTATCTTCTGGCTATACTACTCATAATTCAAAGCACAGGATTGATTTCAATCATTAATAGTAGAGTTTTATCTGCCCTGGGTTTATTTTTCTTAAAAAGGTCATAGCCTTTGATTTCCAACTTGAAGATCTGCACCTCTAAGCAAAAATGTTGGTTAAAATTTAATAGTTGCCCCAGTGGGTGGGTTTTTTGTGTGCAATTTTAGCAGCAATAATCTTACAAAGTAAATATTGATAATGTCTGTACAGGAAGATTGTGCTAGTTTTAAAGGGAGTGAAGGCCAACATTTTCATTTTTGACATGTAGTTCTCAGTTGTGAATTGATCTGAGTACCTACCTATACAAACAGTGTATAGGCCTAGAAGATTTTAGTACTATGGATAAATACACGTAGATAAGATGTATTCATTAGTCACTTTATCAGAAAAAGAATGAGAGCAACAAATTCATAACACCCGTGTTTTGAGAAAATGAAGTTGTAGGGGCTATCAATTTTGTTTATGCACAGGCCCCAGGGAAGAGTTGCTATTCATGCTCTCCCACCAAATCCTATGTAGTCCATTTTATGAGATGTTCAAGCATAATCTAAGATTCTCTTCTTATTCCATATTTTGGTGCCAGTGGTATGCCAGGGCAGCCTTGGCATACCACTGGCAGCAAAATATGGCATAATTAGGACTAACTCTAATCTTAGTCCCTGGCACTATGTAATTCAAAAGTATTATCCTTTCAAAGAGAGGCCATTGTTTTATAATAAAGTAAATATAATACCTGCATGTGCTTTAATCTTTGGCACCAGCCTTAGTTAAAAACTCAAGTAGTAGGTAGTAGATATTTTTTTGCCACAAACCCTGGAGAGCAGGTACTGGTCAGAATAGACAATAATGGCTTGGATGGAGTACATATACTAGCTTGTAT